GAAATATCGTTGCGTACAGCGTTGCCACTAGTTGTAATAAATATCTAACACTATACAGAAAATAATGAATTTTAACTGATCAGTAATCAGGAAATGTATAAGTATTACTCATTACAAGCTCATTACTGATTTTTGTCATAAATAATACCTTTTAATCGTACTAGTATTGTGTATTATCTATAATTTGCCACAACCTACAACTCTACTGCTTACTATATTTTTATTCTGCTATAAACTGGTAACGTAAAATTTAGATATGACAACGCGCTTTACTCTCAATCATTATTGGTTTTACTATAGTGGAACATATTTCAAGCAAATCGGTTTCGGAGATATACAATTTTGTCTCTGAAATGGCGCTAGTAAAATTAGACCAGCTAGAAATCCAAACAGTAGAATCCTGTATGTTGATATCAAATATTTCGAAACGATACGAACATATTGGTTATTTCTCCTGATGAAGGAAAACGATGAAAGAGTTGAAAACTATGCAGCTTTTTCATTCTTTTTTCTGGAAATAATCCACGTCATATCGAAACTCAAATTTTCAAAATCGGGCTAAATACTTAGGTGTTGGATGTTATTTTTCTCTTCAATACAATCGAAATGAAAATGAGAGACTGATAATTAAATGAATTTTAAAATGACATATATACTCACTGCAAATGAAATAGTTGTTACTAAAACCAACAGTGTCGTTACTTTCATCATGGCGGCTTGAAGGTAAAACCTTAATGAGGCTACAAAATCATCAAGCCACTCTTTATACTTAGCAGAACTTGGATAATCATCAAGTACCTAAGATCAAAACACTTCATTTGATTTAACAATACTATATTCAAGATTGCGATAGCAAGATTCTCCTTCAGTTTTTATAATGAATTTCACAATGAATCACCGTGATAAGTATGATGTTAGTGTTTGAAGTGGTTATGCGAAGTCAGGTGACCAGTTTCGTCCTATAACAACACCTATGATGTTCTGGTCTCTCGTTTTCCTTGTAGTAAGATTATTAGTGTATCAATAAGTTTAATCTAATCACTCATCAAACGAATAACAAGTCCATTAAAGTTCAATTGTGTCACCTCCACTTCTTGATTCCCACTTCATTGTAAACCCATTCATTTCAAAATATTGTAAATTATTAGTGTCATTAGTGAATTTCTGTCATATCATGTATTATGTTCTTTTCATTTTGCTAATTTTGGAATAAACCTCATGTTAAGTCAGTAGAATCCATACTGTTCATATTTTATAATAATATGAAAATTTTCTAAAGATCAACAAAATAACCAAGAGTTTCCTTTAACAGACCATATACGACTACCTACTACGAGTTTCTATTCGTTAGATCACAGTTGAAATACCAAATCCTTGCATCTCATGTGTAAGTACGTGATGTACATAAATCGAAGGAAAAACAGCAACTAACCCAGCTAGCTAATGCCGCGCAGAAAGGAAAACATCAGACACGTGTGCAATTCTACTGTATACAGACGGGTAGCAAACCGATTACTAGGTGCTATTATTTCTACGTACCAAACATTGTCCAACCGTAAACCAGAGAGCGAGCAGAAATGAAATTCTTGACTGGATGAGTCAATAAACTAGAAAATCCTAAAAGGGCAAGAAAATCAGGAATCTGGAATTATCACAAGATATATCTAACTGAATACAACAAAGCTCTGAAGAAATGGAGAAGGCAATGCTAGTAAATCAAACAGACCCAAGTAAACGCCATAGTCTATAAAATACTCTCAGAAGAACCTCAGGTCCTAATAAATAATAAAGATACAAGATGGCATTATAACCCAGTAATGATGCGATAAGGATCGAAAATTCTACTTATAAAAATGTGTATAATTCTCAGAACAAGTTTTGCTCTGGAAACCATACTAAAAACATGAAACTGATCAAGCCACCTTTATTCCGAAAAATGGGAAAGGATTTGGAAAAGGTTTTGAGACCAATCAATCCCATGTCATTTACACTGAAGATGATAAAAAAACTACTTGACAGGTATAATAGGGATTAGCATCACTGAACGAGATCAATATGTCAATAGATCAGGTTGGTCGACAAGTAACGAAAAAAATCAGAATATTCTCACAAATACATGAAAGTTGAATTTTTAGATATAGAGGACGAATTTGAAACTATAATACACATAATACTGTGTCTTTTGAACTATAATACATAACTGGGCTTTTAATGGACAAACGACTTAGTCATCCAAGTTCAGGACAAATTTAAGTCCAACGGAATGGATGGAAGACAGAAGGATGGAAGATGAATAGATGGAAGACAGAAGACAGAAGGTTTATTGGATCTCTGGAACTTCGAAGCGTGAGTGATACTAAAACCATTACTGATCTAGAACCAACATCTATAAAGAGTGACTGATAATGCTGAGGTAGCAGTGCTGCCGCATCTACGGTGACACATCTACGGTGACACAGACATGATATATTGACTACAACATGGTGGATAAAATCATGGTAACATATGAATTCATTTTCTGGTGGCTAAAGATGAAGCAAACCACCGGTATTAGCAAACTAATCGAGGTAAACTAATCAAGCAAATAAAAAACACTACGACAGCTGCAACAGAGATACTCTTTTGAATCGTTCTCCTGTACATCTTGTTATTATGGGGGAAGCAAGAATGGACCAATTCAGACTGGAAAACTCACCGAGAGTGACATGGGATCGGACACAACATATATATTTTTAAATATGTGGAGAAATGAACATCAAACATGGCCATGGAACACATGACATCGAAATACATGTCTGACAGAAATTTTGCGAATGAAGTCTCAATCCAAAAACAGTGGAGAATGAACAGTAATCCTATATAACATGTTCGGCAATAGCATCCGGTATACAAACAGGTCGAAAAACTGCGCGGGGAGAAATCTTCATTTCAGGTACCCACTCTACACACACAAGACTTCCAGGTTGAACTGTATGCAATCTCGTAATGCACAAGAAACATTATATTTGTGGACACAACGAAATGAACGGATCCATATTCTCAAATTTTGGGTGCTGGAACACTCAGATATCAGTCAACGAAAAAGTCAACGAAAAAGCTGATGAGTGTGCCAGACATAGGGATACCAAGGTCTTCATTGGTACCCGAATTGGGAAATGTATATGAAAGTTAATAAAAAAAGGGCCACCTAAAAGTATTGTTGTAAATCATACCCTAAAGATATGACCAGTGGCCGGCCGCAACTGGTATCCTTAAACCAATTGTGACGTGGTTAAGAGCGCGCCAGTCCGACCGACTTTTCGCGAATTTTCAATGTTCGCTACCGTTCCAGATGTAGCGAGAATAATGCCACCGCCTTTCATGGAATTCCGATGAATTTTATACTGCCTTCGATTGCCAAATATAAACGTTATCACGCGCCTATCGAGACAATCAAGTTTCGCGAACAGTGCGGTGCAGAGCAATCTAATAATAATGTGATATACATTTGAAGAAAAGTTAAAGTTTCAGTTAAAGTGTTTTTTTATTGAATGTGGAATGAAGGTAAGGTTGATCATTATTCAGTGTAGTCAATTATTGGTTAACCCGCGGGGAAAAACGTAACATTATTTCTCTTAATATCGTTAATATGCACTGTTTGGAAACCGGTGTAGTAATTAATATTACTGGAGTTTTTTCACCAAGTGATCATCTTCAAGAGGAAGATCAAACTGGAAAACTTGCGAAGCTAACCCTATTCATGCTATACAGGTATACCACACAGTCAGGTATACCACACCTTTGGTGTCTCACATTAATTTTTTAATATGTCCTTATGTAATGTTTGAATGTTATAGCTATATATAAAACAATTTTCAAGCTATACAGGCTGTAAAATAAGTACGGTAAAATATTCAAGTGACGTATTCCTGAGACAATCTTAAGAAAAAAAGTCTATATGAACTCATGTCCGAAAATGCTTCGTTTCGGAGATATGGGGTGTTGAAATTGAATTTTTTTGTTCACTTTTTGAAAATAACTCTTGCAAAAATAAGTTATTAGCACGAAATTCGGTATCCGGGGTTTTTTTGATGTGGAAAATCATAATTTCATATTAGTTTTCATGTAACATCTAGAGGGCGCTGCGTACGCTGTCATTATTAATTGCCCTAACTTTTTTGACAGTAAACTTTTGGTACTTTCCATGAAGAAACCCAATTCCCACACCTTTTCCAAGTAAAAAAGGCACACCTCCTCAACAACGCTGGAGGTGATTGTTTTCAAAATATTTACAATTTTCTATATCGATGCATATTACTTTCTAGCCAAATTCGATTTCAATAATTTTTGTCACTCTCCGATTGCAAATTAAGTTAATTAAATCGAGTAGCCTATGAAACTTCGTTTATAAAAATAGAAGTTCGCTGTCACATTTTTACCTATTAATTGACAAATTCACAGTTCGGAGTTTTTAAAGTGATTTTTGGGTACCATTCCCGACTTTACGTAAGCTGAAATTTCTGATATGGTTTTTGCATACGGCTTGGCTGACGGAAATTCAAGCGAGGCCAGACGCATCTATCAGGAAATGTATCCCCAACGCGTGACTCCTTGTGCAGCGACATTTGCGAATCTTTTCCGGCGACTTCCCAAATCTGGAAGCTTTGAAACAAATTCTGCAGTAGGACGGCCACGGACTACAAAAACTGTAGAATTGGAGGAGGCGGTTCTCGAAGAAATTAGTGAACATCCAGAAACAAGTACAAGAAACATTAGTCAAACTTTAAATGTGTGTCACATGGCAGTTTACAGAATTTTAAAGGAACAACAATTATATCCTTATCATATTCAGCGTGTCCAGGCACTTACGCTACATGATTTCCAGCCACGTATCGAATTTGCTCAATGGCTTCAAAGAAAAGTCGAACAACATCCGCAAATTTCATCGAAAATCCTCTTCACAGATGAGGCTTAATTTTTCAAGAAATGGTATCAGGAACTTCCATAACAACCACATCTGGGCGGAAGATAACCCACATGCGATAACGCAAACTCATTTCCAAGACAGATTCTCTTTTAATGTATGGGTAGGCATAATTGGGGATTATTTAATTGGGCCCTATTTTTTCCCTTACGTTTGAATGGAGATGCTTACCTACATTTTTTGGAACACGAGCTGCCCCAACTTATAGAAGATGTTCCCATTGGTCTCCGAAATCACTCTCGATTTATGCACGATGGATCTCCTGCTCATTTTAGTGTGATAGCAAGAAATTTTCCAGACGTAGCATATCCCCAACGATGGATAAGAAGAGGAGGCACTGAGAATTGGCCCCCGAGGTCACCGGACCTTAATCCCGTCGATTTTTTCTTTTGGGAACAACTAAAATCACTAGTTTATACTAGCCCCATTAAAACGAGGAAATATTGAGGAATCGCATCATAGCTTGCTGCGAAACGATAGGAAACACTCCGGGCATTTTTCAACGGGTGCGGAATTCTTTGATGAGGAGAGTAGAAGCTTGTATTACTGTTCGGTGTCGTCACTTTGAACAGTTGTAATAGTTGTTTCGTTCAATTTTTATAATGTACATAGTACATAGTACTTCTCCGAATTGTTTTTTTACAAACTCCAAAATGTAGCACTTTCTAATTGAATAATTAAACCTGACAATTTTTTTAATTTGGATTGAATAAGCAGTTCGATAATGCTCGGTTTAGAAGAAGTCTGTACGGGTATACTGCGTATAGAGTTTGATGGAAATAACTAAAATTGCAAAAAACTTATGACAAAAACCTACCATGTTTTGAAAAATTTCAACAATCTGTATTTCGAAAACGAATCATTCTTCGTTAAACATTTTGTAGAAAAAAGTTGTTTATTTTGACGAGATCCACTACATACTTAGTTTTTGTAAGGAGCTAAGTAATATGCATTAGGTGGTGTTTTTAGCAGACCGTATATATTAAGGTTACTGAGACTATATATTAAAAATAATATCACTGTATTGTACTTTCATGACATACCTTAGTGAATTGAGCTATATAGATGCGCCGGCAGATTTTTTAGACACTGGTCAGAGAGGCGGTAAGTCCCTCGTTTCGTGGTACCACACACACACGCCCGATACTCGAAGGTACTCGTGTCAATATAAATACATACAGTGTGATACAAAATGAAAGAGTTCAAGTGAGAATGGAACACACATCGATATAGAAAATTGTAAATATCTCGAAAACGATCACCTCCAGCGTTGTTGAGGAGGTGTACCTTTTTTACTTGGAAAAGTTGTGGGAATTAGGTTTTTTCATGAAAAGTATCGAAAGTTTACTGTCAAAAAAGTTAGGGCAATTAATAAAGACAGCGTACGCAGCGCCCTCTAGATGTTACATGAAAATTAATACGAAAGAATGATTTTTCACGTCAAAAAAAACCCTGGGTACCGAATTTCGTGCAAATAACTTATATTTTTGGAAGAGTTATTTTCAAAAAGCGAACACAAAAATTCAATTTCAACATCCCGTATCTCGAAACGAAGCATTTTCGTTCATATAAACTTGTTTTCTTAAAATTGTCTCAGGAACAAGTCACTTGAATATTTTAATGTACTTATGTCACACCCTGTAAAAAAATTAATTTCACAATATTGCCTATCCTTATTTATGTTTACAATGTGTTCTTATGTAATTGTCAGTAAATTTAATAATATTATTTTAACAAGCTAAATGGTATGCTATTTGGTATTGGTCCGTCATCGTTATTTATAATATTATAATGTTTATTTATTTCTACACTCTCATAGGCATCCAGTTGCCTGTTGTTGTTAACTTGTCTAACTGATCCTAATGAACTAAAGTCTATGGAATGGTTTTGTTGCAAAATATGATGGGCGACCGCTGATTTTTCAGGTTATCCATATTTTAATTGTGTTCCTTATATCTTACTTTGATGGATCTTTTTGTCTGTCCATAATATTTTGCATCGCAGTCCTTACATTCCATTTCGTAAATCCCAGACTTTTCCGAATTATCGATTTTGTCTTTTGGACTTCCCAAAAGGCTCTGTAGTGTATGACTTGTTTTAAAAATCACCTACATACCTAGTTCCTTGAAAATATTTCCAAAGTTCTTCGTGTATTGGTGGTATGGAACTGAGATGTATTTATCTTGGTCTCTGTCCTTTCTAAAAGTCGAGATTTCGATCATTTAAACTTCTTTTTTATTATGTCTACAATACCCCTCGAGAAACCGTTAGTGGCTGCTATTGCTTGTATTGTACGTTTTTCTTTCGTGAACCTCTCATGTGTTAGAGGGAAAGTCAAAAGACGATACACTAAAAAATTTCACCCAGCACGTTTGTGCTGTCCGCAGTGATGTGAACTGTCAGGAATATACGTGCTTGTACGTGAATGGACGTGCTTGTTTCATTTCTGAATATATCGTATTCTAACCCTCCATATTGGCTCCTCATTACCAAAACGTCAAAAAAAGGTGGTTGTCCCTTGTTTTCTAACTCATACGAGAATTTTATTGATGGACATCTATTATTTAAAAGGGAAACAAAATTCTCCATATTCGAGTTTTTGGTATCGAATATCGCGAAAATATCATCCACATACCTTAGCCAAATCCCAGGAAAATACTTGTGACTTTTCTTTGGTTTCCATTTCGAATCTGCTGATGAAGAGGTCTGGCAGGTAGGAGGACAAGGGGTTTCCCATGGCCGTTTCTTCCTGTTGTTCATAAAAGCAACCTTCTACCTGGAACCGATTTTGTTTCATACACAAATTAGTAAGAGAAACGAATTCATCGATTTCGTTATTATTGTTTTTTTTTCAGTTTAATCTTCCTCTTGAAAATGATCACTTGGTGACCGAAATAAGTGTCGAGGTGTTAAAAATAACGATTTGGTGTTGGGAATATTCATCGTTCATATTGTTTAAACGATATAGAAAATTAAGCCTCGCTCCAAAAGGTGCCTGATTTCAAATTCTGAGGACTTACGGGTATTGCCTATCGGGACCATTAAGACAGTATTTACCAATGAATGTAGTGATTACGAGAAGGGTTTATATTAATAATTCTAAAACACGTCTTTAGATAAGTGAACTAGCAATTATCCTACGTATTATTGTAACAATTTTGACAAAATGGTTGAGGCTTTCGCGGGCGAATTTTTCAGTGCCATTATTTCAATCGGGTTTGAAGGCCATCGATTTTCGAAATTTTTTTCCTGACGTTTCGCTGACGCAAGTATCTAGCTTACTCAGAAGTTTATACATCCTGAGTTAATACATCCTGAGTTAATATCTCTTGATTTAATTTCTTATTTCAATATCTCACTCATTGGAGACAGTGACAACTTTGAGAAACATGAGTTTTATCATGTTGTTCGTGTCATCTTCGTTGTAGCCCATCTAGCTGAGTTTTTGTCACAGAGACAAATGGGTTTCATGACTAAGGAGATGTTGGCGGTATGAAAGTCCCCAGACATCAGATCCTGGCTATATCGGAAGGGATCGTCTACAGCATAATCTAACGGATTCTCTAACGGATTTTCCTCGCTATCAAAAACTCGCCGATTCCTCGACTGAATGGACTGCTGAATGGAAGGCAGCTGCAAATCTCTGTGGATGACTTCATTCCGCACGAACCACGGAGCATTCACAATCATCCGTATTAACGTATTTTGTAATCTCTTCATGATGGAGATGTTAGACGGAGCCGCACAGGCTTGAACAGGCTTTAGATGGTAATTTTGTTTTTAAGACTCATTTTTGATTTCCTATTGATCAGAGGGTACATACGAGCTATCCGACCCTCGATCTTTGTTTTAACGCACATAATGTGCGGGTTCCAGGTGAGCCTACGGTCTATTAGAAGACCGAGGTACTTTACCCGCGCCTGCCAGTCAAGCTCCCTTCTAGATATCCTCACTTTTCTGGCCGGAGAAGATTTCAATCTTCCCATGGTTATCGCCTGAGTCTTGTTCAGATTCACTCGGATCTTCCATTCGAGGTACCAGTGCTCGAGGTCGTCCAATGCCGTTGCATGTAGACGACGCCGAGCTCGCGACCCATGGAAGATGAGAGGAGAGCCGTGTCGTCGGCTTATAGAGATATCTTCACACGCTCAGGCCTAGGAAGGTCGCTGGTGTAAAGAGAGTACAGCGTGGGAGAGAGCACGGCCCCCTGTGGCACTCCAGCGAGGATCTCTCTGTTGTCAGACAGAGAGCCCTCTACTCTAACCTGAAATGTCTTTCAGGAAAGACCCAATCCACCGGATCAGGCCTCGAGGCAGGTTGAACTCGATTAGTTTGTGCAGAAGACTTTCGTGCCACACACGGTCGAAGGCCTTCGAGATGTCTAACAAAACAATATGCACTTTTTTATTTGTATTAAGTTCTGGATATGGTGTTTTCAACCAGCCTTAGAGCCTGCAACTCAGTGGATTGTTCTCTCCTGAAGACAAATTGTTCATCAGGCAGAACATTTCGGTCCTCAACTTCTTCGTTGAGTCTTTACAGAACGACTGTTTCAGCCAGCTTAGCCGCCGACGAGAGCAGACTGATCGGGCGATAGTTCTGTGGGAACAACAGATTCTGATTCTGTTTTGGGATCATGACGACGACCGCATGCTTCCACCTTCTGGAGAAGTATCTGAGGGACAACGAACTATTCATCATGTTCTTAAGGTGAGTAAAATAACAAGACTCAAAATCAAGTAACAGAGTATCGTTTAATCTCTTCAAGTTGCAGTACTACAATCAGAATGTATCAAGAGGTCTCACTGCGTTTTCTTCGTAAATCTTCAGCCATTTTTGATAAATTTCTCCTCTGGGATTTTTCTGGATGCTCAAATTTGTATCGATGTTCAAATATTGGAAGTTATCAGGTGTCACTTTGGGCCATATAAGATTCTGGAACAAACTCGTTTTCTCTGGCGTGGGATTTCTGAAAAAAAACATTATTTGATTTTCAGTGATTATGGAAACAGATTTATTTGTAAAGAATTCTCGGAGAATTTGTATCAAACATATGAGTAAATAAACATCTATGTATTCCTTGATCTGTCGCTGTTTATGATAATTCGTTTTGGAATTCATTCTTGAAATTACATAATGTTCATTTACCGAAATAATAACAATTACAGTAATAGATAGGTAGACACACTTTTGCGTCTTGACTCCTTGACAGAAACCGTTTATGAGAATTGTAAAAAGATTCAGGATACTCGTAATTCCAAGAGAATCTTTTAATTGTTTGCTGTTAATATCACAAGCATCACAATTATTTGAATGACTTAAAGAAAGTATTGCACTCGCAACTTCAGCTTTACAGGTTCCAGAAAAAATGAGTTGCCTTGAACTGGCACGAATTTAAGGTAATTGGATGCATCAATGCCGTTGGATGGTGAGGCGTTTATAAGATCGTTAGCAACAGTAACAAAATTATTATTTAGGTCATCTGGGAGAATAACGTTTTTGTTATCTGTAGCAAATGATCGGTTTCTTTGGTAATTGATTGTTTTCAATGACGATGTCTTCATTGACGATAGTCGTGTCACTAAATAATATTCTGGCAATATCATGAATTTATTGGAGCCTCTGGAGACACCCTACATTTCATTCTATGGAATTTCTTACTTTGTATTACTTCAATTTTTTCAGTAAAACCATGTCGATTTGTAAAAGGAAATGAAATAAAAAAATAAAATATAAATCGATTGAAATAATTTCGCAAAAAACATTTTGTATAATACAAAATATTAAATATAAAAATAATAAAATATATGTTTCAGCATCAGAGAATGATTGAATCAAGAAAATGAATATTGTTATCGCAAATAGCGATTTCTATATTTGAATTAATCTTCACACAAAACCGTGGTTTACTGAAAAAAATTTAAGAAAATAGTTTTTTCTTGGTTCTTTTGAACAAGTCTCATTTTCAAATGGAGAAGTAGTATGAACAATTTTTCTGGAATGTTTGTTAATTTTGAATGAAGGTTTTTCATATCTTCACCACAAAGTATTAGTTCTTAGTTCTTAGTTCAATAATCTAGTTGTGTAATACCAAGGAATGCAGTTAACTTACAAGTATTTAGCAAAATTAGTCAACAAAGTACGGTATCGATCGCTGGTCAATATATCATCTTTTGGGTAATTATTCAATCCAGTCCAATTGGACCACGTCAAAATGTAGTTCAAGTCTTCTGAGTGTTTAACTTTGCCAGCTCCTGGAATGTTAAAAATATTATATATGTATATTGATGAATAATACAAAAAGACAAAAAATCTAAATAATTTTATAGAATAGAAAATAATTGAATTTTCCATTGATACAAAGATGATTCGTAAAGAACCAACAAACAGGGTAGCAGAACATGGAGGAGACTACAAAACCACTTCGACAAATTAGTTACGGATAACAAACCATTGAAAGAGACATTAATAAACAGAGAAGTTCCGTAAAAACAACATCTACAAGACCAACCACAAGGCAGATAGGCCGTAATACTACCTTTCATTTGAATATGTTACCGGCAAAATCTGAAGAATAAGAAACGAAACATCCAGATCATCTATAACCCACAGACAATGATACTACTGCCCTGACCAGAAGAACAAATCCCTCCCGAAAATCAGGGGGTATACACTAATCCATGCATTCTCCATGACCAACAATATATCGGTTGAAATAACAAATTAATTTCCAAGGTCCAGAAGCACAAACATTAACAGTACAATCAGATATAGCTGAAATACAACATAAGAGAATCGGACAAATTAGGTGATCAGGAAACACCTCACTTCTTCAGGCAAAATCAATACGTTGTTTTCAAGCAGTCATAATCGGAGTGAACTGGAAAATTTGCCCCGTATGCTCCAGTATAAAGTCTCCATTAGATTCTTTTTTAATTTTCAGTGTGTTGACTGAAAGTCAACAAACGCATTGACGAGGACAAAAAACACACAGCGAGGAGAAACCACCACATCGGGAATAGCGGAGCATGCTTGGACTCATCAACATAAAATCAAGTGTATTTCATCAGTTCGGACTTCCATTCTCTAATATAATATAAATAGATATGGAATCCCTGAAAAAAATAAAAGATTAACCAAAAAATTACAATTTTATTAAAACAAAAAACTGAAATTACAAGGGTGATAACTGGACTTATTTCTCCGAGATCTGACTATTTATAGGTCATTCGGGTGCTTTCACCTTTCACCTATCCCCTCTTTCCTCTTTCCGCTTGACTAAATGCGTCGTTGTATATGTTGTCCAACAACGCATTTAGTCAAGCTAGGGTAGAGATACGTAACATATGGAAACCTCTTATCAAGCGAAAAACGAACAACTGAAGAGGTATAAACCTATAGCAGGGTCCCAACAAACATCCAAAAACTTTGTAAACTACTAACCTCTTAATAATGAATAAACGTAATCACACACAGGAATAAGTCCAGTTATCACCCGAAGACGATTGTGGATACTAACAATCAAAAGGTCGTGACGTAACTTGATTTAGAATCTTTTAATTTTTATTTTTTATTTTTGTTAATAATATTCTTTAATTTTCAGCCCTTATTGATATTTCAATTTTTTTTTCTGGTTGTAGCTTGTATGTTATTTTCCTGTAATTTCAGTTTTTTTTTCAATAAAATTGTTATTTTCGTTTAATCTTTTATTTTTTTCAGGGATTCCAAATCAATTTATATTATATTAGACAGTAGAAGTCCGAACTGATGAAATAGACCACGAAACATTATCAACCACCTTCAAACAAATAATATCAAGTGGTCCCATGCTGAGATCATCCTCAGGGAGGAACACTGGTTCAAGAAGAAGTTCAAAGGAACTGCAGATATGGTGTCCAACGACGCATTCAGCTAAGCTAGCGCAACATATAGAAACCTACAATCGAGCTAATAACCGATGAAACGAAAAGAGAAAAGAGGGGATAGGAGGAAGCGCTCGAACGACTTATAAATAGTCAGCTTTCGGAGGAAGTCCAGTCATCACCCGGAAACGATTGTGGATACTAACAATCGAAACGTCCTGAAGTAACTTTGCTTGAATTCTTTTTCAATATATTCTTTAATTTTTTACTCATTTTCATTCTCTTTATTTTTCAATTCTTTTTTACTCTGTGGTCATTTTCCTTTTGTATCTTTGTTATTTTATTCGTTTCGTTATATTTTCATTTCACGATATAATTGATATTTCAGCTATTAATTCTAATTTTATTTGTTCTTTCATAGATTTCGAATCATATAATTAAATTGGACAATGGAAGCCCGAACTAATAAAATTCAACAAAAATCATTTAATATAATGCATCGAATGATTCAATACAAAGTATCGAATGATGAACATTTGTTTCTGTCGACAGCTTCGATCTCGTCGAAAAGTGAATGTAATCTACTCGTATTTCAGTTATCATCCAATCACAATATTGAAAGAAGACATGAATTTTCAACCCTCTGTTCATTAAACCGGATCGAAGCTGTCTTAGATATGCAGTTAATGAAAAAAAATGTGGAAAGTTACCGTCAATAAATGGACCTGTGTTTCCCCCCAGTTGTCCCGAGTAGGAAAACTCGTAAAAGTAAACATCACTGAATTTGGATTGCAGTTCAGCATGACGAATGATGGCACGTGCGAACGATGCGTCACTGAAGTACTGAAAAAAATCATTGTCAAAATCGCATTAAAGAAACGTCTCACCCGCAACATAATCAATTTGGGGGTGAAAAAAAGCATACGTAAACAAGTCATTTTTTTTTCGCAATCATATTATAAAGAGTCGACTCAGACATCCTGGACCTTGTCTCTGTCCTTATTTCAGTCCTAATCCTAATGGAGTAAAATAATCTCTGCCAAAATGTTAACACTTAAATTTGTTGAATTATTTACAAGTTCTGATGATAATTTTCCGTTTCTTTGCTAGTTTCGGATCTTAGAGAAAACCGAGCATGTTCACATAATCTGATACCCAATTATCACATTGTCTTACACAATACCATTCGGATTTACTAATAAATATAAAAAAATCTGTTCAAAATCTGTTTTTCCGTTAACCAGCCTTCGCGCCCCGATAACCCTCAGAAGTCGGGGCGCGACTTCTGAGGGTCTTACCTTTTAACGTGTGATTCCTAACACGGGTTGAACAATAACAAGTGAAAATCGATCGTTCAGACTAGGGCATGAACCACCGATCAACACGGTAGTCAATTCGAGTGAGTGAACAAAGCACGAAAGCATGAAATTGTGCTATATAAATTATCTAATCTCTCAAGACAACGATAAAGACTAAAGTTGAGGCAAAGACTGAAATAAAAACTAACTTGTCTTAATCGGCCCAAAATGTTCAAATAAAGTGTTCAATTGTTGCGCTTTCAGGAATCACAGAAATATTAGTAAACAACAGTCAAACCCCTTTTACAAACGTTTCATATAAGAAGGATTAAAGTGATTGAACGTACCCTTATTGTACCTGCCTTGTCATCCTCCAGTCGGCCTTTCAAGTACCAATCGTGAATAGTTTGTCCAACTTGAATCAATTTATTTCTGTCTGTGATATGCATGTTTCTACTCACAAATAAGGTAATATCATTATCATAATTTTGTATTTCTGTTGGAAAGTAAGCATCTGAAAAAAAGTGTATTGTTTAATAATAAATTTTTCATTTGAACAATCTATTAACAAATCATGAAATTATAAAACAACTACAAAAATTAATTGGCGCTCCGGGGCGACTTAATTGATTCCAGTGACGCATTTGCTTTCTCAGCTGCAGGAAAACTCGGAAAAACCTGCAGCACCACATCATCTGAAGATCTTGATCTGCCAATGTCCTCTCTTTCATAAAACAAAATGTAGAGTGTCTCCAGAGGCTCCAATAAATTCAAGACATCGCCAGAACACTCAGCGACACGACTATCGTCAAACTTAAACCAGTCCGTTTCGTCTTTGACCAAGGCGTAATACTGACCAAATTCAACGCCAGAACCACAGTGAACAATGACTGCATGAATATCATAATAGTGGTCTGCTAAATTGAAGTGTTCATCTATTTCGAACCTTCGTAAGAGTTTGGTGCTTACGTCAGAGATTGAGTCATGTTTGAAGATCATCAGTGTTATTATTAGATTGACTGGTGCCTCAGATATACTTGTTTCCTAATAACAGTCAGTTAGTTTGGCGCATGTTTGGCAATACACTTGATCATCACCTGTTAAAAGTTCCATTGGCGAAATAGTATCTGATGAACAAAATAATTTCCCGATCATTTCAATAATTTTCAAAAGTAAAATTTTACACGTATTGATGAGATCCCTTCCAATAAGTTGGACAATGAATATTTTTGTGTTTTTGAATGATTTTATGGCTAAATATATAGAAATTACTCCAATGAAATATCTACACAGTCTCCTTTTCATTTTTCTCATGTCTCTCATGGTTATTCAAAAAATTGTGCTCTTCAGAATTATTTTGTTCTGGTTGATTGAAAGGCTGCATGTTAGATGAATTACGCAAGAAAATCCTTTCCTGAAGATAAAATACAATCTGTGTTTGCTCATTGATAAAATCAAAAACCCTAAATACATTACATTTTCAAACTTTTGTAACTTTTGAGCGTATTTTCGTAAATAGTTCCGAATGCAAAATTTTCATTTCATTTTGTTGATATAATAAAAAAATATAAAAAATAAAACAAAATCAAAAAATTTACCATCACCATCAACTATGTGGAAATCTCTTTAACAGAGTTCTATAGGGATTTTCCGAATGAAGATCACACCATAAGACTGATCTCTTTTGATTTTTTGATCAACTGAGCAGCGGCTCAAATAGTGGAGCAATCACAGAGTTGATCTTTGTGACGGAGAAATAAGCGTCACAGATGAAAATTAAATAGGGCGTTTCCTAACTGAGGTACGATTTGTTATGCGGTTTTGAGAAAAAAGTTCCTATGAACGTATGTCTGGGGCTTCATTTTTGAAATACAGAGCGTTGAAATTTAAAAAAACTATGTTCATGAATATCCTGAAATCGATTTGGTTGAAATTTGATAGAGTTACTAGAAGTTATGAAGAGGTGTTTATTTAGCGCTCACTAGATTGAACTTATTAAGTATAGTGGCATCTCAGAGGGCATGTCACTAATTTGTTTTTTTTTACCTGTTTTGTTTTTCTGATTGATTCAGCCGTCACTTGATGAAGATCCATGGTAATTTCATAAACTACACTTTACGATTTGATCTTCATAAACTTTATTTTCAATCAGCTATCAGTGATATCAAAAATCATGGAGAAAGTCGTAAACCACCATATCCTCAAATCAACAATCACAGACCTATTACACTGATTTCAAATACAACAAAAGTTTTTTTTTTCTTTCCTCTATTCAACTGTCTATGTACCTACGAGTTGATTCAATATTTTATTTTGTATAATGTTCACATCACTAATTCTATTTTCAATAGGTCGGCTATACCACACACAAGAAGTTTTTGAAGTTTCTTCCGTGGTGCCTTGTTTATTTTATTTTTTCTTCTCAGTGATGTATTAGTAATAGGTTAAACGTTTGTTTGAAGGTGATTGACAATGTTTCCTGATGAATTTCACTTGTTCGGACTTCTATTGACTACTATATAAAATGATTTGAAATCCCTGAAACAACTAAAAAAGAAGAATTGAGTATGAATAGCTGAAAATAACAATTACATTAACCAAAATAAACCTGAAATGAAATAATAGTGAAATAAAATACAAGTTAAAATAGAACAATTGAATAAATAAAAATAAAGAAATGAAAAAAGCAAGAAAATAAAAATAAAAAGTGAAGAGATTCCAAGTCACGTTAGTTCACGACGTTTCGATTGTTAGTATCTACAATCATCTTCGGGTGATGACTGGACTGATTTCTCCGAGAGATGACTATTTATAGGTCGTTCGAGTACTTTCACTTATCCCCGCTTTTCATTTTCCGCTTCACTAGTTCCGTGGGAGATGACCGTTTTGGTGGGAGTTAGCCAATTTTCGCTTGATGATGGGTTTCCATATATTGCGTATTTCTACGCTGGCTTGGCTGAATACGTTGTTGGACAACATGTATGCGGCTTCCTTGAATTTTCTCCTAAA